TGAACGTTGATCCCCACGTGTTTGTGCAGAGCTCCCTGGCACCTGGCACCAGGCAGTCATTTCCTAGCCACCAGTGGGCTTCCCTGAGCCCTCTGCAAATGGCCCTTGTGCTCAACGTTCCCAGGAAAACACCTTTCACATTGCTTGGGGGTTTTCATTATTTATTATCTTTCCTTCTTTGGAAAACAAAAACACAAACCCAAAACAGAAGTAGGAAAAGTAGCGAGAACTTTGAAAGTGATGAGGACGAGAAATGCAGACTTCAGATTTTTTTGGTTAAAGTTGTGTTGCTGTAGCAAACTCTCCCAGCCCTACCCCCTGCTTCCTGAGTGGTTTTGAAATTACTGTTTTCCTGATGAAAACAGCATTCAGTGCTGCTCAGGGATGAAGTGCCTGGTGTGGCTCGGTGCTGGTAGGATACCAGTCTCATTAGTTTCCCTCTTTTCCTGCTCTCAGGATGGAAGCCTGCAGTGTCCCACCTGCAAAACCATCTATGGGGTGAAGACAGGGACACAGCCGCCGGGGAAGATGGAGTATCACATCATCCCTCACGCGCTGCCCGGCCACTCGGACTGCAAAACCATCCGCATCATCTACAACATCCCTCCGGGGGTGCAGGTGTGGCCTGGTCCTGTGCCCAGGGGGGTAGGTGGGTGGTCCCCTGCGGCGGCCCCCCCCCGCCACATTACCTCCAGGTCATGCTGCACCTCCTGCCCTGACCCAGGGCTCCGGGTTCAACGATGTCTCGGGAGCTGCGTGTGCGTAAGGGTGTTGCGGGAAGTCTGGGGTTCTCGGTGGCGGGGGACGGCGGTGTTTAGGGCTGCCATGCCGGAGTGCGGCCACCCGCACCGCGGAGTGCACGGCACAGCAGCAAGCAGCTCTGCGTCCTCTAAGGCTGGGAGGTTACCTTGTACCCGGAGCATCCTCCTGAGCTCCAAAAAGGCTTTATTCCTCTCCCACTCCACATGCTGCAGGGACCGGAGCATCCAAACCCGGGGAAGAGCTTCACTGCCCGCGGCTTCCCCCGGCACTGCTACCTGCCAGACAGCGAGAAGGGCAGAAAGGTGAGGGTCTCGCCCGGGCGGCCGGAGCTGGCCAAGGCCTGCTCCGGGGCTATCGCGCGGGAGAGGAAGCGAGCAGCTCTTTGGGGCACGGGGAAAAGGACACGGGGCTTATGCAGGCACACCTGGGTGGCCGTTTTCCCCGTAGCCCACGTGGCACG